ACACACACACACGTACACACACACACACACACACACTCCCTCTCTTTCTACAGTCGTATTGCATCAGACAGGATGTGTTGCAAAATGTTCCTTTCATTCAAGTCGATGCTTGTAGCACGGGGATTTCAGATAACCATTTATGAACGGAAAATGTGAGGGAAGAGTGATAACGAACTTCAGGGTATAAGAGAAACATAAAAAGAACAGCTTTTAATCTGTCAGAACCGTCAACTAATGTAACAAGTGAAGAATAACTCACCAAATCATTCCACACATGCCTCTTAGCTACACACTCGCTCCACTAACAAAGAAACTTGAGGACAGTTCATTGAGGACATGGAACAAAGGGTCAAAGTTCACAGAAGTCAAAGAACTCTAAAAACATGGACAAGCTGGACTTTCTCACCTCCTTGATGAAAATTATTTTTGGCTACAAGAAACAGAAACACTGGGGTTTACATTAGACTGACGTACATTGATCGGACACTCATGGCATGTTGAGGTTGTTATTTTTGCTTTTGATTGACTTGGAATTTAGTCTCACTATAATGACTCTAGTGATTCATTAATTATCAACAGAATAAATCTGGCAGCGGAGAACAAGCTAAAAATCTATATTCTGGAGCCATCTGTACTCATACAGCTGTGGTCACATTTACAGACATTTAATTTGGGGCTTTTCATTTTTTTCTTTGAATTGTTCTTTTTCGTGGGTAAAATATTTGTAAAGCATACACCTTTAATAACTTAAAAAACAACAACTGGTTGGACAAGTTTGACTTTATTTTGTATTTTTATCAAATCCACACAGGATCAAAAGTATACATAGAGCCTCAAGTATATACACATACTCACTTGAATGTGTCTCTTTGCCAGTATAAAAAGGATGCTGTTGATCTGATGTGAAGTTAAAGATTTTGGAGGTAGTGTAAGAAGTAACTAGCAGCAATTCAAAAGCCGCAGCCTACCATGAACTTGAAACAACTACAACACCAACATCACTGTCCACAGCGATGTGTCTTTATACAGTGAAATGAGAAGGTGCTGACCAAGTAAGAAGTCCCTGCTCCAAGTTTGGCATCTTTAAGCTTGACTGAAATTTGACGCTGTCCAGATGAACAAGGCAAATACCATATGGAGAAAAGTGTCTTGATGCATGCTCAATGATCCAGGTAAGTAAATCTCCAAAAGTTTATCTGTTCATCTGGACGAAGCGTTTTGTGGGAGAAACGTTTCGTCACTCATCCAAGTGACTTCTTCATTCTCAGCTGACTGCAGGTTTCCCCAGTCATATAAACAGGACAATTGCACAACGACTGAAACCAGCCCACTGAATACACAATGGTCGTGAGGTCAGTTAATTGATCATTAATATGCAAATTGTTGTGACCATTGATCAACAACCACTGATCAAAGACAATTGGTCATTGATCAAAGACTGTTCTGGAGAAAGGTTTTAAAATCAGATGTCAGTTCATCTATTTGACCACATTGACATGTTTGGAGGAGTAAAGCTGAAGCTTTGAGACCTGAGAGCTCTGTACGAGCTGTTAAGCACGGCGGTGGCAGCATAATAAAGAAATTCTTCTACAGCACCTGAGGTCAGATGGTTAAAAGTTGAACACAACTTGGTTTTCCAACAAGACAGTGATCTCAAACACGCATCAAAACTTCTTCTTTTTTTTTTTTTTAACTTAACCAGGCTAATATAAGCTGCTTGAAACCAGTACATTTAAATGAACTTTGCCAATTCTGCCAAGAAGCACATCAAAGAAGTGGTCAAATATTCAGCCAGAATTATGTCAAAAGCTTGTCGATGGCTTGCTGAGGGAAGTTCAGCCAAATATTAGTGGGGATGTATTCATATATTTGATCACGTATGTACACTTTTGTCTTTTAAATTCGAGAAAATCCTAAATAAATCCAAACTCCCCATTCCTTTGTTTTTTTTAAAAGTCATTAAAGATGTATGCTGTACAATTGTGCCTTTAGATGCCCGTGATGTGTACGTAAACTACTGTTCACAACCGTATTTAAAAATATGTCTACATAAACATGAAAATCATATTTACAGCAATTTATCTCAAGACTTAAATATAAACCATTCACATTTTATTCATATTTTTTCTGTAATAATTGATTTTATGATCCTTTTCCACTATATTTTTTAATAGAATCAACTTTAGTAAATGACAATACTTATTGTATGTTGTCTTGAATATAATATTGTTAAATATAATAAATAAATATAGCACTAATTTTTAAATATAATATTGTCTTAAATATGATATAATATTGTTAACAGTAAATCCACTAATCAGCTCAATAAAAAAAGGACTCTACCAGTTCTAAGCTCCTAGTATTTTTGTTTGTTGACCACTGAATGGAAAGGCCATGTGAAAAGATATTTTTATGTACTTCTAATGTCCCCACAATGAGGGAATAGCATCTCTAGAGACATTTTCCCAGGAAGGGGCAGTCGGATTACTGTAAGATAACAACAGTTCGTACTGTGCTTGCGCAATTCTGAAGTTGTCTTAAATACATTTAAGACAATATTTAGTTATGCAAAGCAGCATACGACCTGTTTTTCCAGCCATTCCTGACATCGCAGGAGTTTCCAGCATAAATAAGTTTTAGCCTTTAAACTGACGACAGTGCTCGGCACAGACCAAGCTGCTTTTTCTTTCATCGTTGATGCAGAAAAACAATGTTCCCTTGTTACCATCAGTCTCTTTGTGAGAGCAATTTGTGGCCAGTGCAGGTTTATGTTGGTTATATTAGAAAGATGATTAAGACCCCCTTTTTGGGAACCGCACGTCAGTGTTTACCTTGGCTTTATATTTCATTTCATTTCTAAAATCTAGATAATCTGATTGTGTGAGTCAGCGGATCTTTTGGCCTCTTTATATATAGAGTGAATTACACGGTGCATTAAACACTGAACGTGGAAATATTCACATTGTTCACAAAAAGATGAGTGAATAACGAACTCCATTAAAAGAAATAACAAAAAACAAAGAGATGAGACTCGCTTCAGCAGCAGGTGAGCTGTGATGAAACCAAGCTGGCTTTTCTGTGGGCAGAAAAATTGGATTTATGTTAATTTAACTGTAATAAAAGACAACACTTTTATTAAAACCCTGAGCGAGACTGTCTTCTTACTCTGGGGGCTACTTTACTTTCCATACATAATGGGAAACCTCTCTCAGAGCTCCATTCATTAAATTTATATAAATTTTAAGCAGAGGGCTAACAAACAAAACAAAAATATTTTGGTGGTGCTCAGGCTCAGTGACAGGATTGGCACCTCTTTCCACAGACTGGTGCAAACAGTCCAACCATATTATAGAAAAAGGGCAAATGGATTACATTTCAAAACAGCTTCAACTAGTAAGATTATGAAGCAACTCATACAGTTAATTTGCTTGCAATAATGACTTCCTATAATAATTTCCTAGGGATCAATAGAGTATTCTGATTCTGATTCCTATAAATTAAATACATTTCTTCTCAGCGATCATTTTGTGGTGCAAACATGCTTACTCGTTTCTAATTTCATCCAAATCCTCTCTGCTCATAGCTTTTTTTCTTTCTTTTTTTCAAACTCTGTGTGTGTCTAACAGCTTGACACCCAAATGTGGCTGGTGTTTAATGGTGTAGGATATCATGAAAATAAAACATCGGTCTGTGCTGATGGTAAACATCCGTCAGCACTGGAGTCTCTCGAGAAGTGCGTCAGCACTGTCAGCAGAGCGAGTTGGAAGAAGGAAAAACTGAAGTGTCCAGCAGAAACTTTGTTTTACAGTGAATCACTGATTGGGGGGGGGGATTATATTCAATTACCCTAAATTTCCTTCTGGATAATGTAACGCTGGCACCGCAGCCATGTTTTCCCGAAACTGGGCCCCAAGGGGAGAACTATCAGCCCCAGATGGTAACAAAGCCGGAGAGGCTGGAGCACGAGTAGCAAATAGCAGCGTTGTGCCACAGCTTATACTGTAATGGCTCATTAGCATCAGAGCAGTCGTGCACTGCCACAAGTTGACATTGATGATTGCTGCCATTGTGAGTCTGTATGTTAAGGGCCTCTCAAGAAACCCAAGAAGGTCGCTTTCTGGTCAAAAGTCAAAGCCCAAAAGCCTGTGTGAACAGGTGACATCTCAGAGGGTGGGGGGTGGGGGCATGAAAGGCTCTGTCCTCGAAAGATTGGAGTTTGGTGTAGAGGGATGCAGAGTATCTGTATCTTTATCTGTGGAAAGCAGAATCCAGGCTGGGGTGCAGGGGAGGAGAAGATCAGATAAACACTGGGGAACACGATCACATAGGGATTTAGAGGTGAGGAGAAGGATTTTACTGGAGATTCGGGACCTGACTGTGAGCCAGTGCATGATGGTGATAAGCTGGTGAGGAGAAAAGCCTTTTTAAAGTTGCAGTACACCATCATATTAATTAATATTCTTCTAAATGCTTATAGGGTGGAGATGGCAGCACAGTTAACTTGGGTTCCTTTCTTTGCAGCGTTCCTTTCTTACTCTGACAGGTTTTCTTTCAGATTGAAAAAGAATAAATATAAAAATAAATTCAAGGTCTTTTTTAGATGTTTACAACTTGCTGCACCTGCAGCCTGTGACAGCTGCAAAGGTAGTTCAGCTGTCAAAAGAAGGTTTGCAGTGTCTCGAGGCACAGTATCAAGAGTGTGGAGGGAAAACCAGAAGATACGCAGTTATAAGAGACTCGACTGCAGCGAGACTGGTATCTGCTCCTTTGGGCGAGGAATATGAGGAGCACATCACCACCAGCAGGGTCCTCATGTGCATGTTTCTGGCCAAACTCTCAGAAACAGACCCCATGAGGGTGGCACCACGTCCTTTTACTGGGACTCTCAGCTCAACTGATCATGACATATAGTTCATGTGCTGTACAATGCAGCCCTCTAGTGGTTACAAAGACAAAGGCCAAGCGAGACGTAAAAACTGAGGAATGCTGCTCACCCTGCTCCGGTTTCTGTTTACTGTTTATTTCTGTGCGCTGCACTTGATCATTATGTACATCCTGTAACCGTAAACAGAACTGAAAAGAACAACATGAACAGAATTTTTACACAGCTTAAGTAATATTTGAACAGGAGACAGGCAAACACATAACTTACAGTACTCTGTATCCAACTCTGAGCTCCTCCATACATACCACAAGTTCAAACAACACACATCCACTGACTACAATATAGAGGTTAGCTTTTTAACATAGCTGTAAGATCGCAGATTCAGTCAGCGAGGGAGCCTATGAGGGTTATTTCACATGTAGGTCCTCAGTGTAAATAAAGCATAGACACATACTACACACTTCTCATATCTTGTAAAACAACAAAGAAAGCAGTCACCTCCAGATTAAAGTTCAGTATTTTCAGCCTGAGACCCGGAGTCTTGTTCGACGGCCCAGTCAACACTTGTTTTGGGATCCTTTCGGGGTCCTCAGCCAGCTAATGAAACCACACCTCACATAATTCTCTTACGCTGGTCAGAAGTCAGTCAGCGTCCTTAATGCAGATGAACAAACTGGACGAATGAAATCCAGTGAAGGGAAAAGACAGTATGATGCCAACAGAAAATCACCTTTGACCTTACTATGCAAATCAGAGAGCATGAAGACAGTGTCAGGATCTTCAACTGGTCATGAGCATGAGAAGGTAAACACTTGGCTCGATTTGTGTGTGAAGAATAAACCTAAACAGCCTAAACTGTTTCACCCTGAAACAGCTTAAACTGTTTCTGGGGATCGTGTAGGAACATATTAGTGTTTTGTGAAAACCTCATGTGCTTGAAAGAAATTGATCATTGCCTCTCAAGTTATTGCATATTTTATCGTTTTCTCCACTTTGCTCTAAAATGATGAAGCGCTTTTAGCACTAAGAACTGATTTTGTGAATAATTGCACGTAAAAAGGGGCCAAATGCATCCAAAATCAGCAAATGTTTGTGTTAGGTTAGTACACATCAGCTGCAGCATCTACTGCTGTTCACTACTTCTAATGCATACCCCATTCTTTTATGCTGATTATGAATAAACGTGTAGCAAATGAAGTAAAAAGTAAACAAAACAAATCAATAAACAGTAAATTGTTGTAAATCAGTGTTTTGATGAAACACAGTATGATCTGCCTGACATGAAACAGTGATATACAGTAAACAGAACTCTTATTGCGTTCTTGATGGTTTGCGTTTAAGCACATTAGTGTCACTTCTGTGGTTCAGAGATTACTCCACCCAGTCTCAACCTTACAACTACCTCCCTAATTTAATGCAGGCTCCCCTCTAGAACAGCTCTGACTCATCAGAGCATCAAGATGGGATGTTTTGGGGTGTCTTACGAACTCTGGCACTGGGACAGAGGCAAATTATTTGAGCCCTCTGGTTGTGTGGAGGCATCTGTTAGAGTGCGTCCCATGGATCCTTGATCAGACGTGGGGGATCTGGGGAGTCTGAAGGATAGGTGTGATGTTAAGGGCATCACATTCTCATGAACTGCCTGATGTTTCCCAGCAGAGAGCTGCACTGTGATCAGATTTCCTTTAACTGCCAGTGGTTTTTACTGTTTTGGCAGACGACTGTGTTTGACAGACGTTAAAAGTCTTTAAGACAACAGCCTCAAAGTCCTGAACTGTTTCTCACGAGCAGATTGAATTTGAACCATTATTTTAAAGACAAACAAAGCGATTTAATAAATTAATTCATGGATTGCCTTCCTTGAGAGCTGCACCGATTCGATTCATCAGTTTGTGCTTTCACAGAGATGTAAAGCAAAAATATATTATTATATGAGTGAGTGTGTGCGAGGCCTCAAGGTGCTTCATGTAAGGAACTGTACATGTGCTAATGCTAAAACATACAATCCCCAGTTCCCCACAAGGCTTCAGGATATCAGACACACCAATTCGTATTAAACCTCTTCATAACAAAACCATTCCACATGATATCATATATGTCACATAACAAGTCAAGTTATTGTGTTACTGGTTTTTTTTTTTTAACTAATTTTGTTTCCTCAGCTACACTCAGCAGACGACATCTTCAAGGTGAAACTCGACCTCTGATCAAGATTTTCTAATCCAATCACCTCCAAACAGCCTATTTTAACTTGACGCTGCTGTTTGTGTTTGTTATTTATAGGGACATTAAATAGTGTGAAAACTGGATTTGATATGACAGAACTGATCTTGAATTCAGTGTTCGCTCACAGTACAAAAAAAATGGCTTGAATGCTGTTAAATGCTTGTAGTGTCTCACAGACTTCTTCATGCTTCAAAGCTCTCGCGAAGAGCAGTCTGACAAATGTTTGCTCAGTTTATTCTCGCGCGTTTCTTTTTCCAGATCAACAGCTCTCACCTTGTTTTGATCCGTCTCTTTGACGTCCAATTTTTTTTGAATAGGATGGTTCATACATACAGTATGGATATTAGAGCTACAGAGAGTCAGCTGTTCATCTGAGCTTCTAGTCCGGGCACGGGAGGCTGTTCTATAGCCTGTCATCACTCAAGTTCTGCGTTTTTGTTGCAAGAAGAGAGACACGTGTTAAAGCATGGGTATAAAGGCAGATGTTGCAGGGTGTGGCTGCAGTATGCGGACAAGAGGTGGTAACACTGTAAGGGTTAGATGATGGAATCAGCAGGGACATCATCTCCTCCTCCTTAAGTCCCCTTACGCTTTTTTCAGTAGAGAGGCTTTTGTCCTTGGGTCTCAAATTCTGACCAGGCATCATTTAGTTCCATGAAAATCATCTTGGCATATTGTTCGTATGGTTGTCCCGTCGCCTACAAAGTAGGAGAGAAAAATACAACAGTTATGAACCCATAAGTAAAGCATATTTGAGACATGTTGGCCTTTTGGGATTCCCACTTCATTTGTCTCTCATTCACAGCTTGCTTTACTCGAGCATTATGTCAACATTATATTATTTCACTGTTACAGAAAATTCAGGTAAGACACTAACTTGTCTTTCAGTGCTGAGAGTCAGGAAGTATACGGGTCCCCACTCTTTCTATAATACACACATATCCCTGTATGGATGGATGTTTACAGGTATAACTTGAATCACATGTTTAATTCTAAGCCAAGCTGCGTTGTTTTAGTGGGTGCAGTGGGAAAGGCCCGGCCTAATGCTTCAGCTGACCACATGGTAGCTGCTGTACTGCATAGCTGTATCTTTAAGTGGATTACAAGGGAAGCTGTGGCCTGGCTTGGCTTAAGAGTCTGAGAGTGATGCTAACAGACTCTTCACTTCACAGAGTAAAGTGCAGAGCTTCAGCTTCTTTGTATTTCATTATATTGTTCACACGCTCACACATACTTTTAGTTTGGTTTGGTTGTTTTCTTGTTGCAACATCATATATGCAAAAACTTCATCCTCCAGCACTTTGAACACACAGACACTACTGTGTGTGTGTGTGTCTAAACACGCGTTGCAACTTCTTGTCTGGTGCGCGTCTTTTATTTTGACAGCGAATGCGCACCTGCAGACCACTTATGTGCACCCCTGCTTATAAGCCTGATATAAGGAGAAGAAAGTGAAAATAAAGACAGTCACTATTTTTTCATCTGACTTTACCTTCAGTTGCTTTTAAGTAAAGAATGTCTCGTTATTGCGGCTGATTTATTCTGTACATATGGATATGTCTCCTATTACTGCATCCATACAGAAAGCATAAAATTCTGTCTCACCTTATCTGGGTGAACAACCAGGACTGCTTTGCGATAGACCTTCTTGACCTGCTCTGGAGTAACCAGGTCAGCCATGCCCACAGGCTTCCAGCGTGTCTCTCCTTCCCAAAGCACAGTGTGCATGGTGGAGAGCAGAGCACGGATGTTACGCTCTTTCCCCTCTATCCAGTCCAGAATCTAGGGCACAGAAGAGGGAGGCAGAGGAGGGGAGCCAATAACCAGTGAGGACCTGATTTGAAACAATTATTAGCATAACTGCTTTCAGTAGTTCTGGCTCTGGTTTTATCTAAAAAAAGCTTTTAAAGGAGCAATTAGATGAACCAAAATTTGGTCATGGGAGACCTACATTGGACGCTTCGTTAACTCTGAAATAAACAGAAAAGGTTTAACAGCCAAAGGTTTTCGAGTACACTATCCTACTTTTGGGAATCACTGAACTGTTTCTGTTGAGCTACACTGGATAAACAGGCGACCACCACCGAGCGAAATGTCATCAAAAACTAATTGTAATCAGACACAATGAACCAAAACTTATTAGTTCAACTTCATTAGTTTCAAACAAACAGCTCATGCCTTTAGTTTCTCAGGGTCCATTTCTTTGGCCATCTCCTCCTTCCTCATCTCTGCTATAGTCCTGGGCCCTTTCTTCTCTTTGGTCCCTGCAAACCCCTGAGCAGACAGCAGGTCGTCAAAGTTGGCATCCGAGGGTTTGGACTTCGAACCTGACAAAGAGGCAGACAAACACAAAGACAGGATACATACTTGTTAAGCAACAAATGCACTAATTACTATACGGTGAGCTGAAGAACAATGTATGTGTGCACAGCATGAAAGGTTTAATGGATTAAAAATGCGGCGCTACCTCTAAATGTTTGCAGATATTTTGTTAAACGTTTAACTTCAAAAATCAAACAAAAAAAACTTAAAACCTTCAAAATGCTCACAATTCTTAGTAAAATTTTTAAACCTTATATTTTGAAATATAAGTTAAGTGTATTCTCTATTTTGTTTTAAAAGAAAAATGTCCTTTTATGTGAAATATACCCCAACTGACCAGGCACAACATTTGGAGCGTAACAATGAGCCTGTCGAGCTTACCCATCCCAGCCTGTGGTTTTCCCCCTGCGCTGGGTGAGCCTCCTCCCATTGCGGAGAAGCTAACATTGTAGTTGGGTCGATTCTGGGGCGATGTGTGGGGCATGGAAGTGTGGCTGGGGCTGGGCTTTGGCTGCGGAGCAGGACCCTGTCCTTGCGGTTGCCACCCTCCACCACTTCCACCAGCCTGCCACGAGGGGAAAGTGCCTCCTGCGTGGGGCTGCCAGGCTCCTGTGTGCTGGGGAGATGGCGGAGGCCTCGATGGGGAGCCCATTGGAGGGAAGGAAGGGGCCGTTCCAGTAGGGGTGGTGGGCTTGCTCGAGAAGCCAGAGCCTCCTGATCAAAAGGACAGAGATTATGGCATGCGAGGTAGTAGCAAAAATACTAAGAACTTAGGAACATTTCCAGCGTCTCACCTCCAAGGCTTCCCCCCAGGTTGCCAATATCAGCGAATGGGTCCAGAGTGTTTGGCTTGGTTTGGTGGGTGGGGGTGCTGTGGACTGAGCCAGTGGGACTGGTAGTGGCTGACCGACTGCCCATACCAAAACCTCCTGAATGAATCGGCCAACAGCAAAGCAGGAAAAATAAACGACACTGATGCCAACGTGTTTTACAAACAGTGTGGTATCTGCTTGTATGTATGTGTGGCTGTGTGCTTGGGAGAACCTGTGCTTGTGGTAGCAGGTCTGTTCCAGTCCCATGCTCCCATGGCGTTTTGCTGCTGAATGTTGACAGTAGGGGTGGTGGGTGGGACGGGGGAACTCCGACCTGTTGAAGCACATAACCATCGGTCACGGGCGGAGCACACGGAAAATGGGAATTGAAGGACACAAAAACATTAAGCCAAATAAAATAACAACAGAACTGAGCTTCCGAGAGCTGTTGTTTAGTGGATGTGGAAACAAATTTTATAGTTGCTAACTAAAAATTGTCCACAGAAGACTGAAGCCAGAAGGCTCTTCTTCATGCACGCATCATGCCCTAAATCCTCAAAGTATAAAAAAGTGTAAACCTGAAGTTAAGAAAAACTGTTTTGCCATGTTTAAAGTTGAAAATACTGACTGTGAGCTGAGGAAAAAATTACTAGTAGGAGCTTGTGCTGGAGTTGAAAAATCAAGCTGTGCAATCCGTATGGAGTGGCAATGAGATGACCTGCAAACACTTCACATACAGCATGCAAACTCGTGAATTATAAATCATACATTACATGAGCAATACAACAAAAATGTGTGAGTAAGCACAGAGAAAAGCTAAAAATGGATATATACTCAGCAGTCGGGTTTGGGTGTCAGTTTAAATAGACGCACAGATGAAGGGAAATTATCGTAGAGGCATCTTGCAAATATCTGAAAACATGCCTTACCCTAATTTGGTTCAGGCTCTTGAAATGCTTTAAGTGCACCTAAAATAATAGTTTGGGAAAATGTTCAGCAGAGCAGCAAGGAGCATGCCTTACCGAGGCTTGTAGGTTGCAGGGTGGGTGATGGTGAGCGAGCAGCATGCAGGAAAGGGTCTGGCTGCCCCACTTTACCTGGTCCGAGGAATGAACCCATCACGTCCTGAGGTTTAGGCATCGGACCCGTCCCAAAAGGATCAAATGCTGAGGAGAACCATCCACCAGTGTTATTGTCTTATGCTAAATTGCAAGAGTAATTGTGCCTATTTGAAGTCTAGTTTTAGGTTGGACCTAAAAGGAAATGCTTTTTCAAACTTCTCACCTGGTGGGGCAGGTGAGGGGCATGGTGAGGCAGTGTTGGGGGCGACTTTGTGTGGAGTGGACTGGGCAGATGGAGGCCCGCTGGTTGACTGAGGTGGGCCCCCGAACAAGTCCCCTAGGAGGTCAGTGGTTGCAGCTGCTGTAGATGGGGGCTTAGATGACGGGCGGTTGACCTCGTCACCATCGAGGCCGAGAAGATCGACTTCCTCGGCGGGAGCAGGGGTGGCAGAAGTGGGAGCTGGGAGGTCAGGTTTCTGATGGGCTGCACTGGCATTGCTTTGCTGGCTGGAGAGAGAAAGCATTTCATCATCCGACGGCTCGCTCTCCTCGCCACGTACCCGACCGTCTGGACCTCCGTGGGACCGACTTGGCTCTGAAAATGATGAGATGGGAAAAACAGAAAAGAGTGTCATGAGAAAGACACATCAATCACGAACAAAGCAATGACTGAAGAGATAACAAAGCAGACAAAGGGAATTAATTTGAGGTTCAGATATAAAGGGACAAGAGTGAAGCAGAGGATGATGGTAAACTACGCAGGTCATTGCTTCTACAGCCAGAACAGCTATTTGTGCTACGAGGTTGCAAACATACACACAGTCTGCAAATAAATTCTAGCTAGTAGTTGCTAGTTGGAGAAAACGTCTTAAATGTGATAAATTTCAACATAAAAGAATATGATAAAAAAAATAAGAAGCTTGTACAGCATGGGATTAAACAGCTGTATAAATCAAAAGCAATATTTCACTTTGGTAGAACATTTTAACGTTGGATTTGTTTACTCCCCAGACACGTTTTCCCTTTATTTCCTTTTGGGACTATGAGTTTTCCCCTCTAGTTCTCCATATCCATAAACAAAAACCTTAAAAACATGTCTCTGTATGCCCAGGAAATAAAATGCTGGCATACATGTTATGGAAATTGTGTTAAAAGACTGGTGTTTATACAAGAGACAGGACAAAATATTTCTACCAAAATGATACATCATGGGCTACAAGAATGGGCTAAATTTCAATTCAATCAATGCAAATCACAGTTGGAAACCACCAAATGGATTTTCCAATAACAAAAATTCTTCCTGGGTAGAGCATGAGTGAATTGAAGCAAACCCTGGGTAACTACGCTCACTGTATAGTTCCTCTAGCAGGTCTGTGATCTCCTCTACCGTCTTACCCTCAAGATCCAAGCCCTCCATCTCATCTTGCAGGGACAAAAATGAGTCACATTAGTTTTTATGACTATGTGTTAATGTAAATTGATTAGCCACAACAATAAAACCACTAACATTGATACTGGAAATATTTCCAAACATCCGTATGATGAGGTGGGGGAGATCTTCACAATATTAGGCAAATGGCTTTAATGTCGTGCTGACTGGTTCATAAATATTAAAATAAGTCGTAAAAAAAAATTAGTAGCAAGTTCTAATCTTACCTAATCTTTATTTTGGTACCAGGTAAACTTACGTAAAGTCAATCCAGGTTTGGGGTTAGAGTTTGTTATTAAGGTTAATGTAGCATTATGATTGGTTTTAGGTAAAGGTATGATTACAAATTGTAAAGGCTAATAAAACAAGCAAGCAAAAATGCTAACTAAAAACATTTTCAATACAAAATTCCACATTGCTTGTTAGTCAAGCTAACTGCTAATTTGCTAGCAGCTAACCCATTTTTGCTTTAGCATTTTCAGTTCTTAGCTAAAGATTTTTAGTTTAGATAAGATAAGATAAGATGAGACTTTATTGATCCCACAACAGGGAAATTTTTGCGTTAATTTAATTATGTTGGTAGTAAAATCTGACAACAGATTAAACAAAGCAGTAAATGTTTGATTCTAAACTTAACATCTGATTTGAGTTTTTAAAAAAGGAAAACTTAATGTGTCGTATTTTATAGACTGAACACCAGTTGTTGCCCCAGTGAAACCCTCCCATTTTTACCAGCAATCGCCAGTGCATCCTGATGTTCCTGGTGGCCAGAGAAGAGCACATTTGGGCTCAAGTCTTTACAAGGAAACTGTTCCCATGGTGGTGTCAGGTCTTTCTGTTTGTCCACCCCTTCCACCTCCACGTCCAATATCACATGGAAGAGCTGGGGATATTTCTCTGGAGAGTCACAGGCATCGAGCTCTGGTCTGAGAGGAAAATCAATATGTGTGAGAAAGAAAATTGAGAAGGTAAAACAGTCAACAGAGTGGAAGTCTAGCAATATTATTTTTTATAGTAAGAAACCAGAATTCCCAGATTTTTGCAAGAGATTTTCCTTACTTGTTAAACTTTAACATAGTGGTTCCAGGAGCGATGAAGCCAGTGTGGAACTGAATCTGGAAGATCTGTGTGTTGGATACCTAACACAAGCAGGAACAAAGATAAATGTTGGTTACATTATATTTTATCAACACTCTCCTGCAGTCAGTTACCCCTTACCTGTTGTTCTGCAATGTTTTTAGGTATTATGTTCAAGTTTTGCATGTGACAAATCTTTGTCATGTAATAAAATACAAGCAGGTGAGTTAAGAAAATCCAGTAAAAGAAACAAAATAAAAGGAAAAATGTTCAAGCCCACTTTAACCATTTTAGCTGATTGGATTTTTAATTATTTTGTACTATTCATCTAGGTTTTAGTACTAATGTGCTATATAGCAAAATAATGAAGTCATTAAGCTACATATGCACATATTATTATAATGCAACGCATGGTGATGTACACCTATGTGCCAATAATCTGTCATAAGATTACTGAAAGACAATTATACCCAGATGAAACACCTGGACCAAACTAAAGCAAAAATAGCATAAATAGTGCATAAATGCTTCTTGCAGCAGTCATGAGTGAGTAAATCTGCATATTTCTATAAATGAAGTAAATCATTAAGTCAAAAACCTTCATCCAGCTTCTTCTTGTCTTAAACAATGTAACAATGAGACACAACAAGCTACCTGAAACTCTACAATGGCTTATACCTTAGCATGATCTTATCACCACAATCGTTCCAATACTGTCACTGTGACTTAGTTGGAGTTTGCTGCTTGCTAGTTTGATTGAGATGTTGATTTTATCGACATTTTATCTTATAAAGCAGACTAATCAGAAGCGTACCTTGGCCTGCAGTCGTCCTCCAATGGTTGATCTCATGTGGTAGACTGAAACCACAACATCTCCTTGTACGCTTACACCCAGAGGGAAAACTACCTTCCCGTCCTGGACCCTGTGCTCTCTAGGCATGCAGAGAAGGTGCAGCAAAGTGTAATTGAGAGAAAGTGTTACAGAGTGAGAAAAAGGAAGGGGGTATAATGACGCTTTGATTATACTTTCATTCATATCATACTCAGCATAAAATCTCTGAGACATTTGTAGTTATTCTATTCCAATACAGAACTGCAACGCTACCGTGCTCTCTGCCGTTCGATGCTGTCAAATTTTTTATTAATCTCGCTAATGTTATTTACCTCATCCTTTCATACTCCTGTGCAGTGGTGAAGATCTTCGTCTCTCCAATGAGAACGTCACAGAAAGGTCGACAGCCACTACGCTGCTTGTTGAAACAGGGGATGGGACTCATAGTGAGGGCCTTGATCACCAAGGGCTTGGAGTGGGGTAGGCTAGGCTTCTCTGATACCATGCTACATACATAGCCTATGTACCTGCAGGCAGAGAAAACAAAAACAGCAGTTTTCAATTTTCAGCACTCTGAATGATGCAATAAATGTCATTTATGAGGAGACGCTTGCACAACCATCGACTGTTAACTTCTACATGTATGACAGGCGGACTCGTGGTTCTTCTTGCCCAGCAATCAAGAGTTTATTTTTAAGCTGAGACAACTAATAACTGTTGGCTTCAGTGATGGCTGTATGTATATTTCAACACGTTATGCCTGTAACAGCATATGATCTGAAACTGTGAATGTGTTTTGACCTCATTTAATATGTGATTCTTTATTAGAAGTGGTAAATGTTCATTATCTATGAAAAATAGACTGCAGATTTAGTAGACATTGAAGAGTGTAACATCAGCAGAACCAAAGGACGACAACCGAGCACAAGGCTCCCACTTTTCTTCTTCTCTTTCTGTCACATTCACATCCCCATGTTCACTGATGCAAACCTGCGGTGTGAAGGCCAGAGGCCAGAACCTGGTCTTTTGGCGCTGAGCAGCTGCATGGCAGGAACTGGATTATTGAAGAGGTGGCAGAAGCAGAACATGGCACAGACCAAAACACCTGAAGGAGCACGACCATCCTGAAAACCCAAAACAAAGATAAAATTACATGTACATCTTATCATAACTGCAATTTGAGCCACTGGGAATTTTTTCTTTTGAATAAACACACGTATTATTTTTCTATGAGTCTATTCATACATATGAACTGACTCTGAGTTCATTTCAGGTTACATGGATACTGTAACACTGTTGTTAACTGAGGTGAAAACACAGCTTTTTTTAAAAAAGGAAGTGTTTTGTGAAGATTATGCAAGAAGAAGCAGTTTGCCAAGGCAAAGCCAAACCTACAATGACTTGGTAATAACATGCCCCAGCACATGCCAGTCTATAGTAGTCATGTCACTGAATTCCAATAAACAGAAACTCAGTTTCTATTGAAAAAGTCAGAAATGGTTGAATTCCCAAATGTGTCTAATGCAAGTGGCTGATATTGCTAAAGTGTCATGATCCACGCACTAAAAGTGCCTTTCATCCAATAAGCCTAAATAGGACACCAAAGGATACACCATTCTGCAATAAGCATAATAAGATGACTTCTATCATTTTTACTGAACATCACAGACCAAGATGCAAAAATGAAATATTCTTATCCTTTGCTTTTCATTTTCATTTCAGTACCACCTGCTAAGTAACGGCAGTGAAGAAGCTCACACGGCTGATTAATAGAGACCACAAGAGCAGTCTGAAGAGCTCCGAGCGGGAATGTATTTGGAGAAAAAAAAACTGTTACTCCAGCGTCAAGGATTGGCAACAGCCGTTGAAGAGGAAGAGAAGATTTCTGATCTGGGTGGTAACATAGCCTTTATCTGGAAGAATGATCCCTTTTGCAAAACTGTTTTGATTTATGTTAAAGTGAATTGTTAAATGTTGTCATTTTTATGCTTACCATCTCTACATTGTTTTAACTCTGTGATGAAAGGAATTCTTTTATCCCCCTCCCCAGCCTCTCGAGGTTCTGGGGGGGATGTAGTGTTTTATTGCAGATACATCCTATCTGGAAGATCTGTTTCTTGTGATGTTGCTTCCTGCTTTTATGACCCTTTTGGTCAGCAGGAGGTCACACACACACATTCTTACACACACACACACACACACACACACACATTCTTACCTGCATACAGATGTTTACACACACACACACATATACATACAGTGCCTTGCCTTAGAACCATTTGGGGGGTTTACGTGGGCAGTGCTTTTGCTGTGATGTGTATTGTGTGAACTGTTTTCCCAATAAAAGGCAGCAAGCGGAGGCCATCGTTGGGGTCATTTTTGTGGTAGATACCAACGAGGCCTCCCTAGTAAATCGATCGATCGCTGACTGTCTTGTTTTCTTCATGATGAATAAGTCTCTAAACCAGCGGGACTTGTGGAAACACAGACCCAACAATTTATGTAGATGTGGAAAAAGAAGGTGAGTCATGTTTGGAAAGCTGTTGAGCAGTTGTTGTAGCATTTAACAACTTCAGACTTTAGAGATCCGTGTCTTGGAAGCACTTCATTTGATGTGAAAGCAAAGTTGACATGTAATCAATGATGCCAATATCATTGTTGAGCAAAATGTTTTGGAAGGGGAACAAAAAGATACTGACACTAAATATGATTCGGTCTATTTCAGACTCTCTGCTTCGATTCAAAAGTGGGTCACAGGACATCAAACAGCTCAAAAATTATGTGATGTGTTGTGAGACCAACAAAAACAAGTCCCTTTACATAACAATCAAAAGTACCTCACTATGTACTTGTTTTTCATGGGAGAATGATTAGTAATAATTTCATATGAATCCTTAATAAATTCAACTATACAAAGGAGGATGAAGAATTTAATATAGGGCTAATGTATGTGCATCTCCTTACCGAGCATGTGATTACACAGACGTTCTTGGGATTCTGTTTCAGCCAGTTGTACATGTTTTTGCACACGGCAAACAGGTTGTGGAGGCTGGGTGCTTGGCGTGAAGGCCAATTACACTCTGAAACCTGTATTGAAGTAGATGCCAGGAATAAAAGGAGGGAGAAGGAAAGGGATTCCAGTAAAAAGACAGAAAGGAGGCAGATCAGAGAGATAAAAGGGCAGGAAAGGGTTGGGGAAAAAAGGAACAGAGGAGAGGAAAGGGGAGTGGTGGAAGTTAGTAACAGCACTGCAGCAGCAGAGCAACACAACAGACCAGTTGCCATGATGAGTCATCTGCTAAAGATACAGTGACTTCACAATGCAGACAGGGGGCCAGCTTCACCATGTTAACAACAAAGCATGACTCCTAACAAGCCTGACTCCTTAGCTCCCACATGTGCCTTCTATGCAGTAATAGGAAACCTAGCTGCGGAAATGTCCCGATACTGAAAGATATGCATAACCATAAAAGCAAAATAAGATACAATAAACTGAGTGTTTGGAGTTTTATATTTCCAAATGTGGTAATTTAGCTGTAACACTGGGATTGGAAGCCCACAAATTAAATTCTGAATAATGAAATGACTGCTGAAATACCAAAAACTTCAGTTTCAGGAACAGCCAGATGAGGTTGATCGCTGCTAGCTGCTTATTAGGCCTTGCATCAGCTAATTTGCATCATTACACTGGATTTCTCAAAGGTGTTTGAAGTTTTGTGTTTTGTGAGATTTTTTTTGAGTAATTATTCAACTTGTTGCAGGATTAATTGTATATTTTAAAAAAAACTATCCAAGAAGTCTTTGGTCCTGTTTTGTTTTTTTTTTTGGTAAGAGTAAAATTCTACCATTTATTTATGTGTTAGCACAAATTAGCAAGTACTGATGTCATGTGTGATGCAGCCATGCTCTGGTTTTGTTAGCCATCTAGTTTGTAGAAACTTTTCACCTTCTTGTCGAAATGTAGTCAGTTCTGGCTTCTAAAAAACCAAATGGTGACTGCCAAATTGACGGGTTATACACAAACCAGCTGATGACACTGGATACTTCATATACTGTTTGAACAACAATTTTATGAAACTCAAAAAATTATTCTGAAGTTTAAAAAAAGAAAGAAAAAATGTACTTTTTTAGCATTAAGCTAATGACTAGGAATAGGACTCAAGTACTGGCTGTTGTAGAGAGTTGGTTCACAGTAGTTCAATGAAATTGTTTATCTACTTATGCCTATTGATTCTGCTTATCGGTTCCTCTTGCACTTGTGCTGATATCAGTTTTTGTGCTGGAGGAGAAAAACTGCGGTGCGGTCTAAAGCGTTGATATGGACATTCATTTTATTTTTATCACACAAAAGGACGAGAGCTCGATGGTAATGGCCAACTGCATTCAGGACAGAAACATCTGGATTGTGGTGCTAAAACAACTTCAGCTCTTTTTAAGTACCTGCACAGAAAGCATGTTAACACTAAGGCAGCTAAGAATCCAGGCTGATGTTAAAAGTGAGCAACTGCTGACCCCAGCCAAGTAGCCAGACCCTGAACTTCCACAGGTAACAAACTGATGGCCTGTCATGCTGCAGTCTTCATTTCTACCCGTTCATGATTCTAAAGTAGACTCATGAGACAATGCATTTTAGGTCATTTTACTGAAAACCTTGAAATATTAAAGTAACGTACTGCATTACCTTTATGCAAAATATTCTATGTAATATTGTATTACCACAAAATTAACACTGATTACAACAAAGAGAGAAAATACCTGCAATGCGCACAAACATTTCACCACACAGCATGCAATTAATTTGCCTGAATGTAATGCGGTTGATTTTCTGCTTAGTGATGGTGGTAACTCTCAAAGCAGAGCCATTGAGAACCCAATGAGAACCTATAAGAGGTTCAATAAGGAATCAAATGAATAATCCATACAATTAGTGATCCGGTAATGAAATCGGAATCCTCAGCAATTACAGACCTGATAAAAAAAGCAAAATGAAACTTTTCTCTGGGTGGTTTGAGACTATCAAGGAACAATCACGCCTAAAACTGTAATTAAGCCCTCCTATTTCCCTTCTATGTTTATAAAATGAAGAGTGCGAAAAAGGTGGAGCAACCACTACATGAGTAACAGCTTCATCGAGATCCATGGGCTGTAGTCACACTCACCCTGTTGGAGAATTTGGCCCCACGGTAGTTACGCTGTGATAGGTTGAAAACAGTGTAGTGGTCTGCATGCCGGCTGTCAAGAAAAGAGCGGATGTCTTCGACATGGTTCTGGTAGCCAATCTGCACCGACTCAGCTGGATAGGTCATCACTGAAAAAAACAAAGTTTGACATGTTCACATGTACAGTGCAATTAAGACAAACTCATGACAGAGAACGTTTTAACAGAACTCTAAACAGTCTCGTTCAAAACTAAGCACAGCCTATAATTCAGTAGCTTGTAGAACCTCCTTTAGCAGCAATAACATTTCAGCCATAATTTTGTGGATTTGCTTGTTTACGTAGGAACATTGCTGTTTCTGTTGTATGACCCAATTTCAACCAAGCATTAAATGTCAGATATGGCCTCACACTTGACTCTAGAATACTTTTACCTAATTCACCACTATTCTTTAAGGTTTCTATGGTTGATGTAATTAAATCCTGTACAACCTGCATGAAATTCTTCTTGAGATGACATGATGCGATCAAGTAAGAGTGGTTAGTTGCCTGGATTCGCGATATCATGAGATCACGCGAGATTTCAATCCACAAGAAAATCACTGGGGTTAGAAGAAAAGCACACACCATGTGTATGCCATTGCTATTTATTGTGGTTTTACCTGTCAAGGACAAAAACGTAAAGAAAATTCTGTATCAAACCTTGTAATCATACCTTTCCTACTTTTTCTTGACTCCTTGAATTTAAAATAATCATAAAAAGGATTTCCACGTTAATAAATATCTTTCTATTAGCATTAAGTACTTTTGTTGGACTAACATAATTTGCATGGATTGGATCAATGAATCAATAAAATTATGATGGACTCGACTCCAGTAAATAAGTTGATTCATCATTAATTAATTAAATTGGTCCAACTCTAGTACGTTACACATTGGAATAACAGAATTGCATAACGCTAGAATAAAGCAATTTAATCACGTGGAAATCCTGTCCATTATTTTTTTTATGTTCATTCAAAGAGTTTTTTTCATTGAGTGTCAGTCGTCTTATAATTGTCATGAGCTTTAACATGCTAACCGAGACCTGTAGAATCCAAAATATAACTCTGAGAATTGTACAGTCTGAGCCTGGAGTGAATTTTCTGTGACCCCCCCTCCTGGGAAGACTGTGGTATTGTGTTAAAACACACCAGACCATCAAACTGATCACAAATTCCACTTTTACGGAGGTGCTCACACGAGAAGTACATGGCTGCTACTTACTGTCTTAATTCCTATGGAAGCAGTAAGAGTGTGCTTAGTTTTTCACAGGACTACAGAGGGGTTCTGTGAAAACTTTACATTTCTACATAACTGTATTTTTACCCACTGTGGAGTACAGGATTGCAAAAAGGTGAGCTGAGTAGCTCTACACTCTAGCATGACTACCATGGGATATAAAGCCCTCGAGTGACAAATGTCTGACTGACTTTGCCTTTTAAAGGGCACATTGCTGCTCAATCAAGAAACTGGAAAACAGTCCAAGTAACATTGTTAAAGTTCATCTATCTACAGACATGCGTATATAAAATGCCCATTCGCTAGAAATACATTTACCTATGATCCGTGATGTTATGTAGGCGATGTCCAGCTCCCCTTTGGTATAACTGTAATGAAAAAAGAAATCTTTGAAAACATGTTTTATTACATCATATATGTAAAACCAATGTCCACTGTCCACAAGCATCGCAATAAATGTTTAAAATATAAGTTGTGGTAGGCTTTACAAAATCACCTTGCTTTTGTATTTCTGTGATTCAGATATGAAATGTTAGAGATTCATAATGACTGTTTCTGTGCATTTAGCTACCAAGACAAAATGATGCATATATAAAAGGTTAGTATAAGAAAGGTTGATCCACCTTTCTGTCATTCCCAGGTTGAACTGCATTACAGGCATATCCAAGTGATTAACTTCAACAGGCTTTAGAGCTGTTATCTTGTTCGGGCTCGCCACTCTAGGCTGAACTGCCTGGGATCAAAGAAATACCATATGTGAATTCTTAAATTGGGCAGCACTGCCTTTCATTGCCAAATGCCGCTCTGCCATATGGACCTTTTTTTTTTTTTCGACTGTGGGGGCAGCTGGGGTGCACTCACATACAAGCAGTCCACTAGTGCTCCAGCACAGCAGTGGTGGAAACACGTACTAATGAAACACTGCCAAAAAGGCTCAGGGTGGGGTTAGAGTGAGAGCCGAAATTTGTTTTTGGACAAATGACTCACAAAAACAAAATCTCACAACTGACAGCAGTAGAGGAAGGCTCAGCTCACTGTAGTTGCATTTATCTTTCAAGACAGGCTTGTAGGCTAATGCGAATGAAATTCAGTTGGCTTGTTGCCTACTGTGTAAATCCTGCAAGCTAGGCCTAGCTGGGACCGTCATCTCCGTGTGATCATGGAGGAGTGCCATATGGGCCTGCTGCAGTCCTAGACCTGGTTATGTAATGCTGTCCTTCTCAGCTAGACTGCTAAATGAGTCTACACAAGTGTACCATATCACGTGAATGTGTCATTTAAGGCGTTTGTGTAGTTTAGCCTTAAAAAAGAATGTAACTGCTAATATACTACAATATAACAGACAAACAACCTTAATTAAATCCAACAGTGAGGGCATTGCATGTAAGTCCTCTATAATGAGGTAATTGGGCCACAATTGAAGCTTCTATTTTGATCTCAGAGTGTTTGTTGTTCCCAGAGTGGAAAAGCAGAGTCAACGTTTGACCGATTTAACGTGGAAAAAAAGGTCAGTTTTATCTTTACATTATACTTTTATTAGTAAATCGGGACTGGGAAATCAGAAAGGTGACATTTCTGCTGGATATTAACACTTCTGTCTGTACATATGTGTGGTTTTACCTATTTCTGTGCTGAATAATACATCTATTACCATGGAAACGGGTACACAATTATGAGCCAACTAAACTGTGTGTAATAGAGAAACCCATCTCTAGTATGAAAAATGAAAAATATTGTATTAATGTGCAATCTGAACACCCACCAACTAGCTAATAACAATAACACCACTATCAACACCTGACACGACCAGCTGATCCCAGCTGTGGTGGAGTGTTGATCTAATTACTGTGGAGATGCTAAATGCCAGCAGATGTTTTTTCAGACTGCTATAAAAAATGTCTTGTCAGTCCTTTGTGTTACACAAAGACATTTGATAAAAGCTGTTGATATGCAGTCGATATCAGAGCGCACAATCAAAAACAAGCCCATGTCTGACAGACAGGAAGTTAAAAGACAATGACGAGACTGGTGCAATTTCCTCTTGCTGGAAAATGATTAGATACATTTTGATGTAAATTGCACATAAATAGTCAGAAGGTTTGATTTTGGACTCAACTTTTGTTTAATCTGCCACTGAATCCCGTTTTTTCCCCACCAAGTGGGCAATTTATCTAAAGGTGAAAGTCTAGCAACTGTGTGACTAATAATTTGAAGGACTCACTTCTAAAATTGTGGTTTACCAAGATACCAATCATGCTACCTCATTAAGATAACATAATGCTTATTCATTAACTTATCATCCCTGTACGGATGTTAGTATTTCATACCATTAATATATCATTCCACATCTTAGTTTTCTCTCATATGTATACTGTTACAATGGGGGATGTTCCAATTAAACATAGTCAGAGTTTCAAATAAAGAGGTCATTTATGTAGTGTCCAAATAAGCCCTGTGAGCCACATTTGAGACTGCTTGGTTTCGGACATAGACAGTGTTAAACATGGAGGTAGCCTTGGTGACGTCACCCACTGGTTTTGGACTCTACATTCTGAGCTTCAGGTTTGGCTAAAGTCAGACATTTTGCTTCAGTTACGGACATTGCCCCTTAAGGCAGCGATCCCCAACCTTTTTTGTGCCATGGACCGGTTTATGTCCGACAATATTTTCACAGCCTTTAAGGTATTGTGGACAAGTACAACAAATAAAACCAGTCCCGGAACCAAAAAAAAGAAGATTTATTGTGAGAGTTGAGGCACCCAAGCCTCAACTCTCACGTCCCGGTACCAAATGACTCACGGACCGTGAGAGTTGAGGACCGCTGCCTTAAGGCACACGGTGCTGGCTTTAAGCACAGAAGCCCCACCCACCTTCTGTTCAAACTTTCTGTTTGTGAGTATCAGCCAATTAGAAGAAAGATGTCAACAAAAGTGAGGCGAAAGAGAACTAAAACACTTTGTACTATTGTACTGTACTGATGGCAGCAACAGATCTCTAAAACACTGGGACAGGGGGACAGAAGGCTGGAATGGTAAGTGGTACTAATAAGAAACAGTTGGAGAAACATTTTGCAACTAATTAGGTTACTTGGTAACAGGCTGGCAATAAGACTGGGTATAAAAAGATCATATTACCAAGGCAGAGTTTCTGAGAAGTAAAGATAGACAGATGTTTACCAATCTGCAAAAGATGTCTCTAATTGTAAAACATTTTCAGAAACATATCAGAATATTGTTCCTTGATGTAAAAGTACTTTATCTGATCTTTTTCAGAACACAGTAGCTGAACATCCGAATCAAAAAGATTCAGAGAATCCCGACAAATCTCTTTAAATGACAAGGCTGAAAATCAATTCTTCGGGCCGATGATTTTTCTCTGGGTCAGAGGTTGTTTGAAATGGACTGAAAGCGGAAAATGCTTAGTGAAGATGAAATACATTGTTGATAAATCTTTCAGACTAAAAAGGAGAGAGACTATCTGGCTTGCTATCAGCTCTCAGTTCAAAAGTCCACATCTCTGATGGGATGTTGGTGCATTAGTGCCTATGGAAATGACTGCTTGAACAGTCACCTTCAATGCTGAAAGGTATATACAGGCTTTAGAGCAACGTACTCTCCCATTCAGACAATGTCTTTTTCAGCAATACGATGCTAAACCACATACTGCATTACAACGGATTACAACGCACAGCTTCACAGTAGAAGACTCCAGGTGCTACACTGGCCCGCCTGCTGTCCAGACCTTTCACCATGAACACAAAAGAGAAGACGGTAAACGCAGTTCTGTCCCAACTTTCTTTAGACGAGTTACTGCCGTCAAATTTAAAATGAGCTAATAGTTTCTTTAAAGTGGTACATTTTCTCATTCCAAAATATTTTATCTATGTTTTCTACATTCGATTGGTCAGAATGCAATCATTGGTCATCCAAATGATTGCATTCTGTTTATATTTACAGTTTACACAGCATCCAAACTTTGTTACTGTAGTGGGCTTGTAACAGGATCCCCATCGTTTGCATCTTTCTGTAGATTACGTGATCACTAATGGTCACCACTGATCTTTTCTTTCTTCTATCTGACCTGAGAGACAAAACAACAATTTTTAGCAGTTAGTAATTGTTATGTGACTTTCTTATTGCTGCACTACTTTATTCAACTTGATATTGGTATTAACTCTGATGTAATAACTCACATTTTGTGATACTAAAAAAAAAACAGTAAAAAAAACCCCAAAAGGTAAACTTGCTTGGATTGGTGTATAGATGTACCGGTATGTTATTAAACCCATTCTGAGCAGTACAGCACTTCATGTTCATGTTTTCCTCCGAGAAAGAAAACACCCTGAGCTTATAAGACATTTCAGGCTGAATACATGAGAAGTGAGGTGCTCTATTAGAACCTCTCAAAGCTACACAAACATAGTCTCAACCAAATCAATGTAAGTGGGTTAGATCCCGATGGATATTAGAGTCGGGCTCTCTACATTTCCCCTATGGTCTTCTCTAAAATTCACTTGTCTTCATTTTGTTTAAGCAGGATTTTTATAGCATGTCTGCTTAAACCAATTTAAGTGGCTACATAGTGTTTGCACTGCAATCATCTATCCTCGGGGCCTGATTTAGCTTCATTCACTCTTCAAAATCACAGTGGGATTTTTTTTTTTTAACTCACCAGAGTTTCTTATTTTTGTAGATAAGATGTGCTGTAAGTTTGTGTTCTGTGTGTTTTGGTGTCTGAAAAATAACATGGATAATGAAATTGGGAAAACTGGAATTTTAGATGCAGATCAAAGCTTGAAAACTTGAGGGAAAAAGGCAAATTAATGTGTGTCTGATAGGGAGGTCGTGGAGTAGGGGTCACAGCCTGGGTGCAGACCAAGCACACCGTGTTATTCACAAAACCAGCGCAGCCATCAAGGCTCCATATTCATTGCACTTCTCACAGACACAAACACACTGTTGCCTCAAGTCGCCTGCCCTGCAATTTTTTTCTTCTTCAGCTACGTAAAGAAACACAGGTTGGTTTTAATAATTCAGAAGCAGCTCTTTCTCTTGACTACACATGAGAACAGAAGCAGAGAGGAACGGATCAAGACCTGTCTGGGCATTCAAAGAAGGCCCGTTTAACAGCAGAGGTGTCACGTTATACCGAGGAAGCTCAAGGGAATTTTTTTTCCCTTGGTTGACATTCTTGTATCTCATTTAAACCTGCCTTAACACTTTGTCCATGTCAGCAGACACGGTTGAATATTGGCAGTCACATTTGAGATAAAGTCCAAAATTTGCTCAAAATCTATTTACTCAAATCTTCTGTTAAGCAACAACTTAACCAAAAGACTACATAACAAGAAAATATGAAATGTTTTGCTGGAATAATGATTAATCGAAACAGAATTGTTTGGAAGTGGTCTGAATGCATACTGTTTAAGAAAGCAAAAGGTATGAGCTAGCCTACTTCTCCTCCCTCCATTATCCCTTATCACACATGCATATACAGTCCCCACAAACACACTTCACATCGCATCACACAGGTTCCTAATGAAATGAATCCTTCTGTATCAGCAGCGCTCTGGCCATTTGGCACAATGAACCGCCATGAATAATGCAGCCAGAAGTGGGGCAATAGACACCAAAGAGGGAGGGAGAGAGGAGAGGAGAGGAGAGGAAGAAAGGTGGAGCCAAGCGGGCAGTCGATCAACCGAAAAACACAAGGGGAACGAGAGGACAGGAGAGTGGGGGTTTGCCAAGATGTGAGCGACAGAAAGGGAGAGACCCCGGAGAGGAAATTTCACAATCAGACTTGCTGAGTCAATAGTGAGGGGAGCAACGTAGGGGTGTGTGTGTGTGTGTGTGTGTGTGTGTGTGTGTGTGTGTGTGTGTTTGATAATACAGAGGCCTCTTTGTGGCGCCCTGTGCAGATGCCTGTGCACAAACACACTGGGACGACCGAGCCGTGCCAGACTCTGAAACCTCACTCTTTCCTCCCTCCATCCCAACCGCTCTGCTGCTTCACTTCTAAAGCTAGTCGGAGACGCTTGTAATCAACATCTGAAACAGCATTCGGTTAACCAGTTCGCTCGCTACTGAACGAGCGCAATGCACAGATTTAAGCTGGACTTGTGTGCAGTATTCATCTTTGGCTGTACAACACTAGAAAAATATCTACAGCGGGGATGTCAAACACGTTTTGAATTGTTTGCCAAATACATCGGCTACTTTGATCTGAAGAGGGCCGAACCAGTGATGGTTCCTTTTTTAACAGGGTAAAGAAGTTTAATTACACATTTAATTTCATTTAATATAAGAAATGCTGCAGCAGTAAATGTGAGACATCTGTTAGCATTTCTAAAATTATAGAAAAATTATAGATTATTATTTATTACTTTGGTGTGTTTTGAATGACAATAGGGTCCCTGGTTAGTAGAAAAACTGTAAAAATTTAGGAAAATAAAGTTAAAAGTCCAAAATCTATGCCCTCCTTCACATTTTCCAAAGCCATCCAGTGGACCTGATTGGAGTCTCTGGCGGGCCAATTCTGACCCCTGGCCCTTATGTTTGACTGCACAGTGTATTTAATTCAGTGTCACATGGTAATAAACTCAAGATAAACTAGATGTGATCACAATGACTAAAAACCGTATCTGTAAAAATCAGAAGCACTGACTGAGCTTATGTTAAAGGTCATCATTTTGAGCACTTCTGGGCTGTTTTTGTTGTTTTTTTCTTTTCTTTTTGTCTCTTGGTCAGACTTTGTTTCTGCGATGCTTTAACTTGTTTTTGTTTTTGGGCTGTGAACAAAGTTGCAGAGAGCTGATCACTCTTGTGAGTGATCCAGGTATTGGGCAAGGTCTGGGTTAGTTTGGCCAAAAAATGCTCTGATGAATGAGACATGCTGGTAGCACCAGACACTCGCCCTCAGGTCCATCCATGTTCCAGCAGAGCTCTGTATTGACCATCTGACCCAGTGAAGTACGCTCCTGGTTTTGTTCCTCACAGGATGTGCTCCCTTCAGGATTGTAAACCTCAAACTCTTCACCTGAAAACTGCTGGACAGCATCAACAGTGATGATCTTTGACAATATTCAGGTCAGTTTGAAATAGACGTTAATGTGAGGCTAAAAATCTCTGTCTGGACATAAACAACACGACAACCTTGAACATAAGATCAGCCACATTTTAATCAACTAAGAGTTTTTTTTAATTTTTAATCATCACCTCTATACAGTTGCAGTAGCCGACCAAGTCTCCATTGCTTTTGTTGCTCAAGTCTCTCGAAAAATAATCTTTGCTTATTAGTATAACATTTGAGCAAAACTGTATTCGTTCCTGTAATATGAAACCATATGAATGCAGTGGTCACTTACGTAGCAACTTGATGCATGACTTTGGTGGAGGTGTCCTTCAGCGTGTCTTTCAGGTTGTCCTTAAAGTTGCTGAAGAACTTGCCCGCTCCTCCCTTGACCATATCCAGCAGTCCTCCGCCATAGCCTGCATCCATATCTGAGAACAAAGGAGCAAGAAGCTTTTCAAGCTCTGATGTCACTGATGTCCTACAAATTCCTACTTTATTTTGCTTTAGGGCAGTCACTGTAGCTGATCCCACCTTTGTGGCGCAGGGAAAGCGACCAAAATTACACGTGAGAGGAGGGCAACCTTCCGCTGAAACGTCCCATCATACGTTTTTGCGCAAATGATGGATTTACACGCAGTGCTCGAAGACCCGCGATCCTTCGAGCCCTAATTCAGAGGTTTTTCATTTGGTGATGAACATGAGTCACTGGTCTACACACTGAGTAAACATGTGTGTAGGTGTGAAGGAATGATGGAGAAGGACATAAGAGACAAGACACACATTAAAATGCACACCAGCTCATGCGCATCTGTGTGTGTTTGCATATATTCTTAACATTGGATGAGGCCCATGTGTTTAATCTGAGTCACTCAGACCCTCCCTCCTCTGTCTCCCCTCTTCACCTACTGTGCATAGAAACCACCATGTCATTACTTTATATCATCTGGCAGTGCTGACTAATCTACCGCCATTAAACATGATGTCGCAGACAAACACCCACAACCGGATTTTAGGCAAAGTCTCCTCTTAGCATCATGCTCATGCACAACCTGTCCTGTCTGCAGAAATGTGCACTTGCCGACAGAGAAGCATTCAGTCAGTGCTTGAGTTTCTGATCTGTGAGGAGTGAAACGAGCCTCTCCCAACCAAACCGGTCAGTGAGGATCATTAAGCTAGCTGAGCATCAAATTTTAGATCGGGCCCAGAGTAAGGTTGTTTTTCGGGTTTGGTGATGCAAGTGGGTTTTTTCCCATGATTAAAAACAAAGAAAGCTTAGTTTATGTGTTGCACTGGCCTGGATAAACTAATAGAAGTATTGCAAAATATTTTTAACAGGCAACTTCTTCTATTTCAAAAAGAAAAGTCCCAGTGATGCAGGAGAAGGAACACTGCGCACTTGTGCAAAAACAGACTGAGTCTGTACAAAGTTTTTCTATGGTTTAAATAGTTGGAAATGTCAGATTCACACTCTTAAAGATGTTATGGGTTTATCGATGACTTTCATCTGGACAGTACTGGGGAAAAGGGTTATTGAGGTTACACAGATGGTTCATTATGACGAGAAACTACTGTACCACTAGTTAGTAGTTTGTGGGATGTTTCTAACTCTGAAAATGGAATATGACAGGAATAGCTCATAGGAATAGCTAATGGGCTATGCAAGGACATATTTGTTTTTGTGCTGGTTGGCTGCCGTGCCTTTCATGTCAGCCAACCAACATGTCAGACTGTCAGGCCAAGCTCAGAGGTTGTCAAAATCAGAAGCCAAACAAAAACTTTCACTTTTATCTGAAACATCTACCCACATACTTTTGCTATGTTATCAAAATGTCAAAACTTGACATTTTGATAAATGTTTTCTTTGCAATTGGATCAGAAGCTTGAAAGCATCAACTCCATCCTTATTTTAGGAGCTTGGAAAGACGCAAAGACATTACAAACAACGTCTAGGAGAAATGCTGCATGCAAAGTTTGATATAGAACCACAGACAGCAGCTGCTTCAAACTCCTTCGACAGAGACTCCTTCGCCACATGCATGATGTATTTGCAGCGATTCTTCACTAAGTTCCAAAATTAGACTTTTGGTCTCTGACTGCTGAGGCATGATGTGCATGACGGGGATTTATTTTTACTGAGAAATAAAACTCTTGCAGCCTGTGACACACCAAAATTCCCCCATGCTAAAAAAAATTGAATTGAACTTTGCAAACAGCAAAGATTACCAGTGTTAAGTCGAGTTTTTATACAATGTAACTGCATGAACATGTCTTTAAGATAGATAGATAGATAGATAGATAGTGATAGTTAATTTGTAGCCTTTAGCTGATGTCTTTGTCCTTGGAACATTTCATCCTTTTTTCTCTCTAATGTGTCAACATTTTTAAAGACAACAAAGACCCTAGAAAACATTTTTTAAAAGCAAAGCGATAGACAGGTTGGTAGTTGGCTAGTTTGTTTGGTTCGGTTTGATTTGTGTGTCTTTTTTGTAAGGTTTGTGTCGACTACTCTTTGCAATCCAAAAAGCATCTCAAGGATAATAAAGATTAAACAATCCAGTCACTTATCTCAGAAATATAGTTGCATCATTGGGCGTGTCTACACTGAACAATAAAAGCTAAAACAGTCCTCTTTCCTTTTTTTAGGCAAGGCTGTGATTTCAGTAGTACGTTTTGACCCATTTTAAGCTCCTTGGCATACACATCTGCCAGTCAGTGACCTTGACAGGATTAAGAAAATCAGGATCCTACACTCTACCCTGACATCAAGAACTAAGTGTATGCGTCAGTTATGTTTGATACCTGTACAGATGGAGAAGCAGCAGTGATGCTGAATGAGCAAACATTCATAAAGAAATGTCACATCCAAAAGAGCTTTTTCACTTAAAGAAGACCAGTCCGATAGCCCACACCGCCCCTCCTCAGCTGCCTAGTATCACATTCACTAAGCTGACCAATAGAAACAGGAGGGGAAGACAGAGGTGACTGAAGTGAGAGGAAAAAAGACAAGGCAGTTCTATTCATGTCCAGAGGGATCTGTTGGCTGTCAGCATATGTCTCCCTCCTTCTATAGCCTCAAACCTTACTCCCTCAATATCCAGCCTAGTGTTAACAACACAGATAGATGCACAGGGACAACTGTGACAACTAAAGCTCGAAAGGCAAAAACCCTGCACTTAACCTCAGGGGTACCATAATCATGGGCCTTGTTTCTTCCTGAAGTTCAACAACTGCGGTGTCAACCCGACACTAATCTGCTTAATTATAGATGCTGCTGATAAGACAAGGAGTCTATGATTAATCATCTACTACACAGCTTAACCAGAAGTGTATTCCGCTCCTTTGAATGACAAGCAAGCCTTTACATGCTGCTGAAAGCATGACACGCTGGTATTACAGCTCTGACTAAGTGTAGGAGGAAGCTGACAGAGAATTAGGCAAACTGATTCTTTTACAAAAGTTTTGAAATTCAAAATTTTAAAAAACCTTGTCACGACTTCTGAACCTTCAGATCCTTAAAGCTGCTTGGGATAGTTAAAAACAAGCCCGACTAATCTGTTTCATCTGTGTTTTAAACTTCATCATTACGTACATTCTTGTGAAAAACTTTTTACAGGACCTAAAGAAAACCAGAAGCTTTGGTCAGTTCGCTGAAATGGAGCATTCAAGTGTGTGTTAACACACGTGCCACGATATTCAGCACAAGGTTGGACTGTGCAATGCTCAGGAAAACTGCAAAAAACACAAGAGCTAAATCTCGGATACTACAGGCCTCAGTTAGCATGCTAAATATTCATTTATAACAGTACAATTAGAAAAAGACTGAATAAGTGCAGGTTGTTTGGATGGATTTCCCTTCTCTCTCTAAAAAAGACTGTGGCAGTACAGCACATGCTGGCAAAGTTGCATCTGAGCAAACCACAAGACTTCTGGAACAATGTCCTTCAAACAGACGAGACAACGTTTGGTGAAAACCAATCACAGCATATCAGCACAAACATCTCATACCAACTGTCAAGCATGGAGGTGGAGGGGTGATAATCTGGGCTTGTTTTGAAACCACACAACCTGAGCACCTTGCAGGCACTGAGTCAAACCTTAAGTCGTCTGTATTCCAAACTCTTCTAGCATCAAATGTTAGCTTTAGCTAACATTTGTTAGCTTTAGCTAACACACTTCTGTTTAATCAGTTTTCTGTTTGACGTTTATTCAGCTGTGTGAAAACCAAGGAGGAACCCATCCGAGGGATTAATAAAGTTTTATTTTATCTAATCAATAAACTTTAATCTCAGCCAAACCGATTTACTCACGAACAAATAAAACACTGAAAAAAGCCAAACAACAACATTTTTAGTTTATCTAAGTGACTTATATATCACATTTAATCTGAGTAGTGGAAGACCGCGGTGATCTGAAAACGATGTGCCGGGAGTTTGCCGTTCTCGCCGGCTCTAGTGACCCTCGAGCTCCCGGCTAGCTATCGAGCTGTTGGGTAACAGACGTCTCTGAAAACGTCGGAGCGCTTTTGCAAATATGTGATATCTTGATAAACCGAGCAGATATTTGAAGTTTACACAGCTACATTTTTGCCTGAAAATATGTTAAAAGTTTATTTTGTGACCCAGAAAGAGTAATAAGAGTAATATTTAAACTTAGTAGCGGCCGCCATTGTTGAAAACTGGAATTGGCTGGGCTGCGCTATAAATTCTTGGATATGGTGGGCCACAAAGGATACACCCGACCCATCCTTCAAATTCGGGGAAAAGGAGGATGCATTTGTCAGCTGCATTCGGAGGAGTCTACGAATTTGGACAGCCTTTGTGACGTAATCGGTCTACAAATGCGGCCTCAGGAGGATGCAGCCCATTAATTTGGACACCATTTAGGGACACTCCCAATAGGGCTTAAAAAATCTGGGACTCTCCACCAGTTGCTCTTAGAACTGAAAAAGCTCCTCAGATGACAGGTTAAACGTCTTCAAGAAACTTCAAGAAGTCCAGACACTTTTCTTTTCACCCTCCTTAGCTTTAGCTGACGCTTGTCCAAACTGGATCATGCATTAAGGCAACAATCCCAAACATATCAGCAAATCTACAACCGAATGGTTGAAAAAGAAAAGAGTCAAGGTGTTGCGATGGGCCAGTCCAAGTCCAGACCTCAACCTGATTGAAATGCTGCAGCGAGACCTTAACAGAGCTGTGTATACACAAATGCCCACAAACCTCAACGAGCTGAAGCAACGCTATAATGAAGAGTGGAAGAGTTTCTATGGGCACTGCAGTGTCCACAGAAACACGTTTGATAAACATACAATGACAATATCAAACAGCTGAGTTATTTAAACAGATGGTAAACTGTGGTGGGGTTATGCCATGCTCTGTATAAATTAACCCCAGTAAATGGCAGAAAGGGTTGTAGTAAGATCTAACAAGGTGATGTTGGTTGGTTTTTTTATCCCTTCACTCAAAAGATAAACAATTGCTTATTTTGGGGGGAAGTACTAAGACCCTGCTGAAGACTGAAACCAAACTGGAAAGCGAACCTGGACCAATGATCTACCATTTATCACCGTTCACTCATCTATATTTTTTCCATATTCTAATTATCCTAAGTGGTTCCCTTTTTGGACAGTTTAATTGCACAGTGTCAGCTGTATCAGCTACTTTACACCAAATGACTTTTTATAAAGCTGACGCAGTGATTCTCAGACTTACTGGCTGTTAAACTGAAGCAGCATCTGCTTACAACAACAAATTGTTTCATAGGCCTGAAGATATGATCATTTCAGACAGACTGTGAAATGCCAAACTTCACAAGACTCACATTAAAATAGGCAATGCAATCTATATTTAAGAAGAAAATTTGTATTTAACATGATTTCAATGGCCCATTAATCATCCTGTGTGACCGCAGAGTTTAGAAACCCCAATCTAGATTAAATTAGACAATAAAAATCTAAGCTAGCTACACGATAACTTAGAAAGTATTTAGCGGTGGTGAACAAAAAGTACAGATAGGTGTATTCAGCAAGATCATTAGGACCTTTAGTTTTATTGTATTGCTGAAATATTACAATCGAAATGATACCAGTGCTTAATTAAGCAAGTTATATTTTTTTTTTATTGTGCAGGCTTACTTTGTTTTCTATCTATTTCCTAAGTTGTTTTTATCTATATTTATTAGAGTGTGGTTACCTTGTAGTCATACACCCTCAATGTGACCCTCACCTTTGCTTCAGCACATTTTGCCTATCTCTGTTTTTTTCAGTCATTATCCCCCTGCAGATCTGTTAGAATCTGCCTGTTTGCTTTCCTGTTGGTCTGGTAGCTCGCCCATGTGCCTCTGTGTCCATGACCAGATGGATGTGGGAGTCTGCTGGCTAGTGAGCCAACTACAGTGACAAACCCTGCTAATGGAGACACCAGAGGAGGCTGTGATACAGGCTCTATCAGGTAATAGAGCAGCGGTTAGCCTGGCCATTTAGAGGAAGAGAGCACAGGAAATCAGCAGCACAGAGGGCCCTTGGCTTTGTGAGAAAGATCAATAGCTTGTTTGAATGTGGTTCCCTCCTCCTAGAGTGCCAACCTTTACCCCTCCGCATCCAGCATTGTGGGGAAAAAACAGATGGATACATAGACACACACGTGCATACACAAGCAGATCAAAAAGGTTGTCTGTACACACTGGCCAGGCAGACATCTGACACAGGAGTGCCCCCCCCAACACACACACCAGATTCCCCACCCACAATCCCCTTTCCTCATTGACCCTCCCACCCTCCTCATCCAGCTTCTTTTGTTTCACACAAATGTTCATCTCTGGAGACTGGCTGACTCCACAGAGTACTGCAGTGTGGTGAACACACATTCTACAAACAGGCCCCACAATCTAGATACGCCTATCAGCCTTATGTTATTTATTTATTTTGCATATGTTTTAATTGTCGTTTTTATTCTGTAATATAGGTATTAATAACTGTGGTGCTAATATTTTTGGACAATTGTGCTGTCATTTCAATTTTTAAAACTGGAAATTATTTGTAAGTTTGAGTTGGTTGTTCACACTTGACATGTTCAAATTATTACTTTTATACGTTTATAAGAGAAGGAAGCCTGATCAGCATTCATATTCACATTCATCACATGACTCCATAGGTCCATAGGATGTTATGCTAATGCTTTGCTATTATTAAAACTGGCAGAGTCCATGGAAAGAGCCAAATGTCTGGTATGTGACAAAAATGTATATTTGTATCATGAGCCAGGTATTTGGCTCTTATCATGGTGTCTTCTATTTTAGGAATAGTAAGTATGGAAGGAGCACAGGCAACAGAAACTATCCCAAAACTATACCACCCTATAGGATTTATTTTTAAACAAAAAACTGAATCTGTCAAAACCAATGAAATCAAACAGCTGGATTAAATTACAGCACTTTGGTGGATTGGAGTTTTTGTTTTTCTTATAGATCAGATATGTGGGGCTAATAATCTGTCATCAACAACTACCAGATTAAAACCTAAAAAGAGAGGATTTGTGCTTCTACCGCCCCAAACTAAACGAGATTTATCCTCTTAACTGTTGACATATGATATTTCCGCTACAGCTGCGGTAGAATTTTGGTCTTAAAGCCCATGTGCAAAGTAAATAAACCATGAAATATGGTCTACGTAGCAGATAGCACCCAAATGTAGCAATAAAATTACTTTGCATAGACTTTTCCCGTAATTTTAAAGAAGAAAAAAAATTGATAAGTGTTTAAAAAATTCAGAACATATTTTTGGATACAGTAAACATCTGCATCTATAGAAGCCTGTTTGAAGTTGGTAGGGACAGATAGGTTATGCAAGAAGAGTAAGGCGTATTTACAAATTCATATATGACATATATGTTTACATCTATTTTACAGTAGCAGCTCAGTACAGTCTCTTAGGTGGGGTCTGGGATTTTAGGATTCCTCTGTAGGCTACTTTCACTTATGTTAGCCATTATGTTGTCCACTGCTACCAAGACAATTACAGGCCGCGGTAACACTCAGTAAAGTCAAAGCACCTTCATTAAAGCCCTTTCCGCGTCCACGAAGGCTCCAAACGCCATTCGTAAAGCAGCCGGAGGCGGTAGGGGCTCTTACCTGAGCTGTCCATGGTGCTGCAGTCCTCCTCTCTCAGCGGGCCCGCCTTCGGTCCGAGGGTGGCCGATATGGAGCCTCCAAGTGTGCCGCCGCTGCTCCCTCTGCCGATGCTGAAGCTATCCCCTCCGCTATCGACCAGCTGCAAAGATTCATATCCATCGTAACTGCTCTTTTTCTTGTAGGCCCCCAGCAAGCTCATTACCAAAGGAAACAAAAGAAGGGAAATTAAACACAAAAGAAGCCCAGAAGACGTAGAAAGCGACGCCGTCACCGCCGCTGCTGCCCAAGCTGCTGCTGCTGCTAGTGCCTCCTCCTCTGCTGCTGCTGCTGGGTGCACCACATGTCCGGGGATGAGAGGGTGGCCGCTCTCCTCTGTTTGTGATAGAAAACCGGGTGGTCTCTCTCTCTCTCTCTCTCTCTCTCTCTCTTTCTCTCTTCCTCTCTCTCTCTCTCCTCTATTGCGTCCTCCTTTTCTCAGCAGCGCATTCTACTACGACGATTGTGCTACTGCTGTAGTCCCCGACTGAGTACAAGGGAAATCCACCCCAACTCACTCACAGTCGTCCTGCGTTAAAGCTGCACTCACACTCTCTAATAGGCTGGTTGAGACTAGAAGCATTCGTTTAAATCTGGTAAGTAATATCCCAAATCTTTCACTTGTTATATCATTAATGCAAAACATTGGGACAATTGTAAAGAACTGCACTTACTTCCAGTGTTTATGCTGGATTAAATCATATTAAATGTCCCAAAATAGTTCAAAATGCATGTCACGGTTTAACAGAGTCCATGTCTTTAAGTGACTTGTTTTGGGCAAAACTAATAAAGAACCCAAAGGTATTAAAATTTACAATAAGACAGCAAAATATAGACTTAAAATGGACTCACATAATTAACAGATGATTTGAACAGTGGCTTCTTTTCTCCCAGTAAATCAGTTCAATTTTAAGTGATGAAGGGGACTAAACTGTTGGATTTCTACACTCGAGTCAAATGATGAATCGTGCTTGCAATGACATGTACATAGTAGAGGCAGAGATTTGAATGGTCTGAGGTGTGTGTGTGTAGATGAATTTTTGATTTAAATGATAATGCTCCCAGTGTTGCAATTGAACACCTGAATTTATTTAGAGCTGCTTTTGTTTGTGTAAATAAGGTCCAGATTAGGGGACCATAACTGAGAACAGTTTTCATTTGACTCCTGCACTAAAAATGAACAAGGACTCCTGGCTCTGTCAGAATGAATAAGAGCAGGGGCACAATAGTGCCATGCTTTGCCACAAAAAGGAAACTCTTCCTCATAAAGAATTTCTTTTTTTTTTTCTTTTTTTCTTTTTTTGGACCAACTTGGATTTTAATAGCCATTAAAATTAGGCAGATTTGTCTCTTAGCTCCAAATTTGTCCGTTTCATTTTTGTGTTATGACCCCAAGTCCGTGTAGGACAAAGCACTGACCAGTGATGGCATGCTTCCTTCCTAGGCCTTGTCCCCTGGCAACAAAAACCCTGCATGGTTCTGAAAAGAGGACATGAGCCTGGGAAACCCTTTTAGGAAAATAGACGGGAGCTCAAAGCACAGCGGGAACGGAATGTCCAAAAGGGAAGAATGATACCCCGGCCATAACCGGATGCAACGTGCTGCTCCTGCATTGTCGCAAAGGAGCTTCCAGTCTAGTTCCGAACCGTGCCTTCCAGTATTTAGCCAGTGATGCCCTGCATGTTGAGCACACAGCAAGCAGGTGCAGTATGAGCTCTTTGCTTTGTCATTACACATGAACTTAAATACTTATTTGTAGCATGTAATGTGCTTTAATTCATCTCGTTGTGTTTGTCTTTTTGTCTGTTCTGTATTCAAATCTGTATTTTATAATATATAATATAATCTGTAAAAAACTAACCAACATTCACTTATGGGGACTAAATGTCTGTTCCCACGATTTTGAAGGCTTTTTTCAGACTCTAAATTTGGTTTTAATGTCAAGGTTACAATTAGGCAAAAAATTATGACCACATCCCTAATAGTATGTTGGTCCCCCTTTCCTGCCAAAACAGCCCTGACCCGTTGACTCCACTAGACCGCTGAAGGTGTGGTATCTGGCTCCAAGATGTTAGCAACAGATCCTTTAAGTCCAATAAGTTGTGACAAGGGGCTTCCATTGATCGAAGTTGTTTGTCCAGCACATCCCAAAGATGCTCGACTGGATTGAGATCTGGGGAATTTGGAGGCCAACTCAACACCTGAAACTCCTCAAACCATTCCTGAGATATTTTTTACTTTGTGGGAAGGCCTTCTTCCCATAGTGCATCCTGGTGCCAGGTGTTCCCCAGGTAAGCAGCAAGCACAAACCCAGCCATCTACGTGATGTAATAGAAAATATGATTCATAAGACCAGACCACTTTCTTCCATTTCTCTGTGGTCCAGTTCTGTGTCCATTGTACAGTGACGTACAGGGGTCAGCATGGGTACCCTGATTGGTCTGCAGCTATGCAGCCCCTTACGCAACAAACTGTGATGCACTGAGTACTCTGACACTAAAGTGAGCTACAGTAGCTCATCTATTGAATACATGGGCCAACCTTTTTGCTGTGAGGTGACAGTGCTAACCACCGCACCACCATACACCTCTTATATTGTTTTCCATTAAATTTTAAACGACATGGGAGAAGCCGCTATTATGACCTTCTGGGAATTCATTTCTATTTCCACTGTACTGCTGTATGGCAACTGCTGTAACGTGAAAAGAAGCTGTATCACAGTTTATAATGGTTTTACCATTATCCTCAAAGGTAGTTTGAAGATTAATCATTATCCCTATAACAGTTAAAGCAGAATCCAGGAATCTGCTGCATCAGCTGCTCGACTCTGCTGATAAATCAGGTAACAGACCTGAATCAACTGCTGTGCCGGTGTTGCATCAGTTCTTACATGTCTGAGTAAATATTGTCGCTGCTGGAGTGTGCATTGCTGTAGCTTTCATCAGCACTGTCATGAAAATCTACAGAATGATGCTGCCTGTTTATCTGACTTTCTCTTCACTTAACCATAAAAAGCCTTAAAGCCCTTGTGCACACAATTTATACTGAGCCACAATGAAACCATTTACGCCTGTTTGCATTAAACAAGTCATGCTCTAAATCCTGAGGGATGACTATAACACCCTGGTGCGAAAGGTGAGGCAGTGGTTAAACATCAATCCACGCCAAGTCCTGTAATCTGCTCACGTGGTGTGCATGACGTTTGGTGATGTAAAGGTACGCTATTGGATCAAAACAGAGGAGCCTTCCTCTCAACCAGAGCGAGCCCTCGGTGATAAATATGGTGCATGTGATGGAAAATACATAGCACCCTTTCCTCCTACAGCATTATTTAACATCGGTGCTCTGACTAAACAGTTTCTGTTTCTTGAAATTTGTCCTGCGAGACTGAATTGAAGACGGGACATACAGGATGTGCTTTTAACTGATTTCCTGAAATGCAGTTATGGTCGAAATCACCTGCCAATAGAAAAATCTAAATACTACTAAAAAAGAAAAGTGCCAGTCCTCGTGACGTGAGCCAGTCACCTCAGGTCGATGCCAGTACGAGCAAAGTAACAATAGCTGTGATTTTCTTGCAGAAGGGACACGATGTCTTATATGCAAAGGGGGGAGGGAAAATCGTTGCCCCTGACAGAAATAACCCAAATGATGTCATTCATCCTAATCGTAAGCGCATCTTGCAAAATATAGGCCAACTGCACAGAAACAAGTGTATTTTAATTTGTTAAACTCTAATCAATCCTTCTCTTATGCTAACTGGGAGGAAACATTTCTCCTTGGAAGCGAAATCTGTCCACCGAGCAGGGATGAACTGTCGGGGAAGTGGGCACAATCTCCGGAGGTAGATATTATGTAACATCCACACACGGATCGTGATGCTCTCCGCTTCTCTTCCTGCTTTGATGCCACAGCAGAGCCCGAGACGATAAATTGTGATTCTCATAAACTCAATCAAAGAGCGAATAGAAAATCCAGCAGATGACTTTACCTTTCTGAGCGCCTTCTACCATCCTCCCGGGAGCGCCGTCTTGTGCCGAGGTGGAGATGCGCTTTGCG